GTTTATGTCTCTGGCGATTCACGCAGGTGTGTGTTACTCCGCAGCGGTGACCAGCCTACAATAGTCCGAATAGAAGCACTTATTATAAGTGTACCGGAGTGATTCGGAATAAGACAAAAACGCGGTTTGGAAGATGAACTCATGATGTACTTGCTCATTATATACATTTAGCTAATTTAACACAGAAAAAGTTACATAGTGCTGCTTTAATAATTAAACAGTCAAAAACACCAGAATCTTTAAAACACGCCAGAAGCTTTATTGACATAATCTACACATAATGAGGTATAAACTCAGCTTCATCAGACGGCATAAAACAGAAGCTGTGCCTGATTATACATTAATATTATGATGCATCTCTGAGTGAAATGGCAATAAATGCAGGTTGGGACACGTGTATAACAGTAAGAGCAGTGGCATGCATCAGAAATGCATTGAATTACATGCTGGTCTGAACTGCTGTGCTTCAAACAGATCATCTGCTGATCCTAGAGACGCTCCTTCACCAGCGGTGCATCTGAAATCACAGAAACACATGAATATAGGAGAAAACAGCAGACTCAAATTTCCAAAATTACAACTTCTAGCTTTATATAACCCATTTCCTCTGTGCATCACTGCCATCTTACTCTGAATAACAGGAGAGCATGTATGCACAGATCGAGTATCATCAGACGGGCTCAGACTGAGATCAGCACTGCTCTCTTCACGCTCACATGCGTCAAAAACACACGTCAGTTTGCGCAGTGGACTAGTCATCACTGACCGCTGATCACATGACCACAACACACACACTCTCACACACACTCACTCTCTCTCTCTCACACACACACACAAACACTCTCACACACACACAAACACTCTCACACACTAACACTCACACACACACTTTCACTCACTCACTCACACTTTCACTCACACACACACACTTTCACACACACTTTCACACACACACACACACACACACCACTCACTCACTCACACACACACACTCTCTCTCACACTCTCTCTCTCACACACACACACACACAGACACACAAAAGGGACATTTTTAAATATCATGACTTCATGCAACACATAACTGGTTTATTGAAAAGTGGATTTTTAAAAATAAATATCTTGTGTTTAAGACTAGTAATGTTAACTATCACCGATCATCAGTCTAAGGCCAGATGTTCAGAAGTAATCTGATGGGATCTGATCATATCTGGAAAGTGGAAAGAAAAACAGGATTCTGAATTCGGATTAGATCACAGAATCCAATCTTGGTTTTGATCCGGATTAAATCCTCAATTTGTGTTCAAAACGTTTTAGTAAGATTGGGATACTTTTGATACAAAAAAACTGGATTGCTCTGATCCCAGCAGAAAAGTGGATTTCAGGAACAAAAATGTAATAAAACTTTAAAACTGGTCCAAAAATACAACATGTGTACCGTGTAATACATCCCCAAACGGTTTTATAAAAATGTAAATTTTTTTTCTTTTTCTCTCTCCTCTGTACCCCCCCCTTATGTTCTATGTTCTGTATTAAATTATATTTATGGAATAAAAACCTGTTATATATAAATAATAGTTAACGCTGCTTTGCTCCGTATGTGTGCTCAGGCCGCTCACTCGCAAAAGTTGATTTAGCAGGAATCAAATATTCTTCTTTGAAGTTTTATGCGATTGGCAAACCAGGTAGAATTAATTTTAATTTGTAGAGAGTTATTTTATTTAACTTTTTTACCTTTCGGCGGGAACTCGGCTCTCTCACACGCGGCTCCTCGCTGCCGGAAGACACCAGATGAACTGAGACGCAGAACGTACGCAACTTCCGCTAACAGCACCGTTTACGACATGTGCTTCCTTTATGATTTACAGTGCCTTTGATGGTCAAGCGCTACTTCTTTAATATCACACACTTTTTAAAATTATGTTTATATTAAAATATAGTTGTGATGAATTGAACTACAAAGCAGAAGATGAAAAATTCGCGTCAGCCACGAATTCCGCTGCC